GTGTAGTCGTCGACGACCAGCAGAAAGTACCGCTCGTGGCCCTGTCCCCGGACGCGGGCGGGGCCCCACACGTCCAGGTGGAGAGTCTGCAGGGGAGCCTCTGTGGGAGGGAACGAGGAAGAGTGAGGAGCGGCTCGCTGCCGCCCCTCAACATAGGGAAGACAGGGAGGAGCAGGCGAGGGTGGCAGGGGAGGGAGAACCTTGGGAAGACCAGAGACAAGGTACCTGGAGTGCATGCCGCAAAGGCGCTGCACTGACGGGTGACCAAGGCGGTGGTGCTAGAGGATAGTCCTGTGCGACAAGGAGCGACACGAGCAGGGGGCCGATGGCTGACCTGACGCAGACGTAGACGCAGCTACCTGAGGGGACTCAGTGGTCAGTGTGTACAAGTCCGACCCCGGCTGCCGAGTGAAGGTAGCCAGGTGAGGACCCTTCTGGGCACACGTGCAGTGCGTCACACGCTCGTAGGCAGGGGTGAACTGGTGAACACCCGCGTCCTGGAGCGCGGAACCCACCACCAAGTTAGTAGAGAACAAGGGGAGGTAGAGGCTCGACAGCGTGCCAGACGGGACAGGAGAACAAGGGAGGGCAATGGTGGAGGTCGCAAGGACCGGACCCCCTGAGGGGTCAGCCAGGGAGACAACAACCGGTCTAGGAAGCTGCTCTAGGGCAGTGCGGTCGCGAAAGAAATAGCGGGAAGCACCTGAGTCCAGTGTGAAGGTGTGCAGTGCCTCAGTAGGTGCGGTACCAGCAGACGCAGACACACTAGCACCTAGGGCAGCAGCCTCACCAGGACCTAGAGCAGCAGACGCACTAGCACCTAGAGCTGCAGCCTCACTGGTCCCAATACCCGGGTCAGGCGGTACACTCAGGTAAAAGTCACCCTCAACACTAATAGTGAATGCATACATAGCAGCAAAAATAGCATCATAATCAAGAGAAAAGATATCAATCCCCTTCTTAAGCAGATCAGCCCAGCGGGGCAGCTCTGAGGCGTTAGGAAACTGCTCGCGCCAGGCGTCGCCAAGGCGAAAGAAACAGCGCTGCGCCGTGTGAAACCTCCCACAGGTCTGGCCAGTGCAGTCACATGTGCGGATGACGTACGGGCAGGTACCTCCACCCCCAGACCCCCCACGCTGAGAGTACCACTCACGGAGCTGCTGGGGCGACTGGGTCTCGCTGGGACGCTGCTGCTGCTGCTGCCTCTGGCCGCCGCCGAGCCCGCCACGCTGCACCGCTCCACCGCGCCCTCCACTAGCTCCACCGCCACCACCACTGCCACCACCACCCCCGCCACCTCCACCACCGCCGCCTCCACCACCCCCGGCTCCGCCACCGCCCCCCCCACCACCAGCACCACTCCCACCACCGCCGCCACCGCTGCCGCCCCCTCCACCCCCTCCACCACTACCTCCCCCGCCGCCACCTCCGCCACCCCGGCCCCGTTTTCCCCTGCTGCCCTTGCGCTGCCCACTGGGAGCGTACGCAGCTCCGACCCCCTCAGCACCTAGGAAGTCGACAGCAGCAGCAGATGCAATGGAGGGGAGAAGGGGGGAGGGGGAACATCCCTCAAAGAAGGGAGTGCGAGGGTCGCCACGAGAGGCACCTACAGCTACAATGCTCTTCTTAGCTGCAAGGAGTTCCTTCTCGAGTAGGTTGACAGTGAGGTTTGTGGGGGAGAGAGCGAGAAAGTGGTCCCTGACAGCGCGAAGAGAGTCAGGGAGGTGAGTGACTAGGTGGTAGAGGGTGAGGTACATCGGGGGGGGGGGGTTCTTGGCTAGGAAATCGGGGGGGAGCGCGGCACGGTAGCGGAGATCACTAGTACGGAGGTGAGTGATGAGGTCTACTACAGTGGCAAAGGCAGACAGATCCAGGAAGAGATAGGGCAGTGAGAGACGGCCTATCGCAGTAGTAGCAGGGGAGGAGTAGCGTGCAACTACAGCATCGTACAGCTCCTTAGCGGTCTTATGCTCGCCGAAGCGCTCGCGCTCATCTAACGGCAGGTGACTGCGAACGGCTAGGCGAGCATGGGCGTCACGAGTCTGCCACTGTGAGCGAGCAGTACTGTCAGCAGTAGCAGCAGGTGCGGGGGCAGCGCCGGACGTGTGGTCATATAGGGAAACGTCGTCCTTGGCAGTGATCTGGAGGAACAGGTGTAGGTCATCGAGCCAGACATCAAACTTAATCGGTCGGCCCTCAGCGTCAAAAGTGAGAACAGTGGGACTCGCCATAGTGGTAGTAGCAGTAGCAGCAGAAGCAGTAGTAGTAGCAGCAGGAGCAGTAGTAGTAGCAGCAGTAGCAGGAACAGGAGCAGTAGTTGCTGCACATGGGGCGGCGCGGCTCGGTTAGGGCGGCGCGATTCGGGCGGCGCAACTAGGGCGGCGCGGCTTGGGCAGGGCGGCGCGGCGCGGCTCGGACTAGGCTACGCGGCACGGCGCGACGGTGGGCCTGTGCGTGGACGGCTGTAGCGGGCGGTCTGCGGCTGTGCGTGGGCTGCAGTCGCGCGCGGGCGGCGGCTTACGAGGGCGACGCGGCGGCCTACGGGCGGGGCTGCGGGCCGCTAGCGGGCTACGCGCGGCAAGGAGGGCCGGTCCACGGGCGGCTAGCGGGCTGCTCGTGGCGGCGTGGGCGGCTAATGGTCGGCGCGCGCGCAGAAACGGCCGCGCGCGGGCTGCTAGTGGGCGACGCGCGCTAAAAAAAAAAAAGGCCGCGCGTGTCAGTAGAGCTACACTGTGAGATCCCCGATCGATCCTAGGGGGGGTTACAGGCGCGGTTGCCTGGGGGGTTATGGGCGCACTGACCCGCTACTGAAACAAGCCCTTTTATCCCAATGGTCTAGTGGTTGGGATTCTGACATGGTATCAGAGCGGTCTCGGGTTCGAATCCCGGTGTATGCACATGTTGGCCGTTGCCACTGTGCTCAGTCCTGGGCCTCCCAGTGTGGGGGGGTGTCAGTAGAGCTACACTGTGAGATCCCGATCGATCATAGGGGGGGTTACAGGCGCGGTTGCCTGGGGGGTTATGGGCGCACTGACCCGCTACTGAAACAAACCCTTTTATCCCAATGGTCTAGTGGTTGGGATTCTGACAGCGCGCGGCACTAGCGAGCTCCGCACGGGCAGCAGGAGAAGGAGAGGCGCACGAGGGCGCACTAGGAGAGAGGCGCTCGAGGGCGCTGAGTCGATACGGCGCTCGAGGGCGCTGAGTCGATACGGCGCTCGAGGGCGCTTCTAATGGTGGGCCGTTAGGTAAGTCCTAGGTCTTCAACCTAAGCTCTTAATATCATGTCAAAAACAAGAAATGATCAACTAGAAACATTTGGGAGTACAAGTATAAAACCCTAGAGAAATGTACACCCTAAAGGCTAACCCACTGTAGCCTACAAAATAAAAACATATACAATGTTTGACAGGGAATCACTGGCGACAAGCTTACCTCACAGAGCTCCAAGTATGAGCGACTAGCACGACGGTAAGCGATGCCTGCCAAGAAACACACACGGTTCGAAGAAGCAATCAGCATCTGACGATGTTATAAGAACTCATCATAGTGAGGAAACGAGATAAATAGTGAGGACACGTGAGAATGCGGGAAATTGAGCGGGGAGTTCCGCTACAAATGGAAAGAAGCTGAAATCAAAGAAAGAACAAATAATACGTTCGATCGTCGACCGCTCGTTCAACGCGAAACGAGACCACCATTAAAATCTCGGCAGCGCTAGCCGTGAGAAGCCGTTTCTCGTTCAAGTACGCTAGCTCTCGTACTAGCTGTTCTAGGTGTGTATCATGAGCTGAAATCGAAGTTATAAGAATGACGGGTTGCGTATGTAGCAGGGTGGATAAGTAGTCTGAAGGTGCTGGGACATGAGAGGGAGAAGAAGGTGGTGTCGAAGAGCTTTGATTGGTCCGTGAACTCGATTGTGCCACGTAACCCAACCCATCACTGTATTCCAGCATATTGAGCAATGCGATAAGAAAGACGGGTTCAGATAGAAAACACCCGTTATATCTCATACCAACAGGTTGAGAGGAGAAGTGTACCGAACATAGTTTACGTACCACACCAAGCTGTGTGGAATTCCCGAACGTCGCAGCCTCGGAAGAAGCAGAGTAGCGACAAAGTAAGCAATGCCCGTCATTTTCCCGCCAACGTTGGGGTAACCTCGGGGTACCCTCGCGAACTGGGAACCGTCCCGATTGGTCAGAAGGTTTGCTCCGATGGCGGGCGCTAAGATTGGCGGTTGTTGCTGACGTAGCTGTGCCGTGAGGTAACCTGAAGGGAAGACAGGGGGAACTTGTGGGTCACCACGTGAGGGTGACCCCGGGGTCTCCCGCGTTTTCGAAGTGATAGTTGCGTGTAGAATTTTGGGATGGCGGCCGTCGCAGCAAGGCAGCGTGTTCGAGTGCGACGAGTCGCAGACCGCCATGCACTCGGCGTCGCTCGATCCCTGTACTCCCCCTCTCCCCTTCCAGTGGCAAACAAACGACGATTTTCTTGTGCCTCCCTTCCGCCGGGATCGATATGTTCAGCTCTCACGTATCTGACATTATTAATGAATCTTCTTCCGCGGACGTGCGCCTTCTCTCACCTCCTCATGCCTATCCAGCTCCTGAATGCAGCTCACGTCCCTCGCCCCTCGTCCCTCCCCGCATCGCCTGCGCCCTCCGCTAGCACACGCGCGCCTGCACCTGGTTCCCCCTCTCCTATTCCCCAACGACCCCTTACTCCCGCCGTCCTCCTCTCCCCCTCTTCCCCCTCCCCCTCCGCCCCCCAGCCACGGCGCCCTCGGCACGCTACCTCGCCGTCGTGTATCTCCGGGAGCAGCTCAGCAAAGCGCGCCTCCACCTGGCTCACCCACTTCCCCCTTCCCCTCCCCCCCTCCTCTTCCCCCGCACGTTTCCCCCCATCCTCCGCCAGCCACTGCGCCATCTGCGCGGTACCTCGCCATCGGGAATCTTTAGGAGCAGCTGAGCAAAGCGCGGCTCCACCTGGCGGAAGCCATGGCTCTCGCGCGCCACTGGGGGCGCACGCTCGTGCTACCACGTGTCCGCACCAGCCGCATCGGCGCCACGTGGCATGCTCCCCGCGTATTTGACCCGGTGTTGATGGGGCGGTTCGTGCCGTGCGTGCGCGAGGACCTGTGGCGGACAGTGGTGCCCGCGTGGGAGGGGCGAGGGGGGGCGAGCTCGGGGGAACGGGGTGGCGGGTGCTGTTCAGGCGGATGCTGGTGCTGGTGCCTCGTGCGAATGAAGGCGGTGGTGCTGCTGCTGCTGTTGCTCCTCCAGCTGCGCTGTCTGCTCCTGCTACTGCTGCTGCACCAGGGGGGCGTCCCGCCGCTCCCCCCCCAAGTCCTCTGATTGGTACAAGCGGCATCGCGAGGCGGCATGTGAGAGGAAGAGGATGATGCAGTATTACTTCCGAGAGGTGGGCGTTTCTTGCCAAGGTTTCAAAACGGGGCGTGCTTGTGATTGTGGGAATTCTAACAAGTAACAGCACCTTCAATATGATGCACTGTTACTTGCAAAATATGTACATGCATGCAGCGCCCTCACCACAACACTGCTTGCTCATCTCAACATGGCTCTGCCTGTCTGTACCTCCCACTTCTCTTCCTCCTGATCCTATTTTGCGCTCAGTCCTCCTTGCCTGCAGCACCAACTCCTCTTCCCCTCCTATCCCCTCCTTCTCTCCCCATCCATCCCTCTGCATCCCATGCATTGGGACGTGTCAAGATTTTGAGACGGCTCAAGCCTTGCTCGCTGCAATCCCTCCTCTTCCCCTCCTATCCTGTCCTTCTCTCTCGGTCCATCCCACGACAACCCATGCTTCTCTCCTCTCGTTCTCCCCATCCTCCTCCCCTGTCCGTCACTCCCAGCTCTCGTCCATCCGTTGGTGGCATGGCAGGCCAGTGAGGCGTGGAGGCGAGGGGAGAGGCAGCGAGCCCTTGTAGGCAAGGAGGGGTCTGTTCTCTGCCCATAAGCTGCGGCGATCAGTAAGTTGTAGCGCAGTGAATGAGCGTGCGGTGCAGTGATTGAGCGTGCGGTGCAGTGATTGAGCGTGCGGTGCAGTGATTGAGCGTGCGGTGCAGTGATTGAGCGCGCGGTGCAGTGAATGGAAGTCGACGCTCTCTTTCTGTGAGTCGACACTCTCTCTCTGTGAGTCGACACTCTCTCTCTGTGAGTCGACACTCTCTCTCTGTGAGTCGACACTCTCTCTCTGTGAGTCGACACTCTCTCTCTGTGAGTCGACACTCTCTCTCTGTGAGTCGACACTCTCTCTCTGTGAGTCGACACTCTCTCTCTATGAGTCGACGCTCTCTCTCTGTGAGTTGACGCTCTCTCTCTGTGAGTTGACGCTCTCTCTCTATGAGTCGACGCTCTCTCTCTGTGAGTCGACGCTCTCTCTCTGTGAGTCCTTATTCGTTTAGAAGAACAGCGAAGTGCAGATTAGAGCTCTGCGATTTGAAATATCAAAGCCTGTGATCTTCCATCCCTCTCCTTCCCCACCCCACTCCCCCGCATCGCTGCTCCATTTCCTGCTCTTACTCACACAATCTTTTGCAGCAGAACCCAGCTCTATGCCCCCTGCACACCTTCCTTTCCAGAATCTGTGGCTGTCTAATCCCCTTTAACAAGCAAATAATTCCCTTTCCCCTGTCCCCGTGCTATGCTCCATTGCGCCCTGCTCCCACGCAGGCAATATCTCGCAGCACCGTCCAGCCCTGCAACCTCTGCACACCTTCCTCTCCCGCGCCTCAGTCAAGCTCCTCAAGACGCTCGTCTGCTACACACGAACCAGATTACATTACCTTTGAGTTCCTTTAAAAGCCACCTCGTTCCCTTCCTGTCCGATCCTTTTTCGTCCCTTCCCTGCTCCCGTGCAGGTAATCTCTCACAGCAGCGCCTAGCCCTGCACCCCCTGCACACCTTCCTCTCCCGCGCCTCAGTCAAGCTCCTCAAGACGTTCGTCGCCTCCCACGAGCTGCACCCCTTGCCCTCTAGTGCAACGGTGAGTTCTAGGTGCATGCGATGTGCAGCCGATGCGTGTGACTGTCATCAGTGTGGAGCGGTCAGAGTCTGTCTGACGATGGCGTGGCAGCAGGAGAAAGTGGTTGGGCTGGGGGGCGTGCTCGTGCAACGGTGAGTGAGTACTGGAGTGCCCCACTTTACCTGAGCTGTTCTATCACGAGCTGTTTTCCTAAGGGGCCTTGCAGTGGAAGGACAAGCTGTGCGACCCTCCTAGTCCCCCTCCACCTCTCCACCAGTCCAACTCACCAGTCCAACTCACCAGCCCAACTCACCAGCCCAACTCAAGAGAGGAAAAAATTCACGCAGCTGCTTGCCCTGCCAGCACGTGCTCTCATCGTATGCCTGAAGAGAGGGGGGGGGGGGCGTGGGGTGGGAAAGGGAGAGGAAGGGAGAGGTTGAGAGGGGAGGGGATCGGAGGGGAGGGGATGTGGGGGGACGGGGCGAGGAAGGGAGGGGAGAGAAGGGGATGGGATGGGATGAGATGAGGTATGGAATGGGGATGAGTCTCACTGCTCTCCTTTACACACTCTCTGTCACGCTCACCCCACTCGCTGCCACCCACGCTGGTCATCTCCCATCGGTCTCCCCTCCCTCCCACTCCCCTCTCACACTCTCTCCTGACCCACCTGTGTGTGTCATTCCATATTGACCTTCCGTCCCCAACCCTTGTGTCTCTCACTCCTCTATGTCTCTCCTCCCTTTCCTTTTTAACAACCCTCCTCCCCCCCTTGTCCCCTCCTCCTCCTCTCCCTTTTCCCCTCATCAGTTGCAGCGCCCTGCCACCGTCCAAACGGGCCAGGGCTACTCGTGCTGCGGCTGCTGACGCCTATTGCTCGTCCCACTCCGTGCTGCTCGTGCGCTCCCCCTGTAGGTATGGGGATGGCGGGAGCAGGAAGGGCGGGAGGGCAGGAGGGGGAAGAAGGGCAAGAGGGCGGGAACGTTGGAGTGAGGGAATAGAAAGATTTGGAAGTGCGGAGTATGGAAGTGCAGGTGATAACCTTGCACTTGTTGTTCCAGTCCCTGCAACGCATGCACTGCCTGTGTGCCACACTATCTGTGTGCTGCAGCACAAGCACTGCCTGTGTGCCACACTGTCTATGTGCTGCAGCACAAGCACTGCCTGTGTGCCACACTAGCTGTGTGCTGCAGCACAAGCACTGCCTGTGTGCCACACTGTCTGTGTGCTGCAGCACAAGCACTGCCTGTGTGCCACACTGTCTGTGTGCTGCAGCACAAGCACTGCCTGTGTGCCACACCAGCTGTGTGCTGCAGCACAAGCACTGCCTGTGTGCCACACTGTCTATGTGCTGTAGCACAAGCACTGCCTGTGTGCCACACTGTCTGTGTGCTGCAGCACAAGCACTGCCTGTGTGCCACACTGTCTATGTGCTGCAGCACAAGCACTGCCTGTGTGCCACACTGTCTGTGTGCTGCAGCACAAGCACTGCCTGTGTGCCACACTGTCTGTGTGCTGCAGCACAAGCACTGCCTGTGTGCCACACTGTCTGTGTGCTGCAGCACAAGCACTGCCTGTGTGCCACACTGTCTGTGTGCTGCAGCACAAGCACTGCCTGTGTGCCACGCTGTCTGTGTGCTGCAGCACAAGCACTGCCTGTGTGCCACACTGTCTGTGTGCTGCAGCACAAGCACTGCCTGTGTGCCACACTAGCTGTGTGCTGCAGCACAAGCACTGCCTGTGTGCCACACTGTCTGTGTGCTGCAGCACAAGCACTGCCTGCCTGTGCGCCACACTAGCACCTCTATGCTACAATAGTTAATTTACGAAATGTTCACTAGTGTAACGATACTACTCTGGATATGGCGTAGAATTTCACAGTATGAGAAATGTGTGTTCAAGTATTCTTAGAAAACGTAATTCTAGAAGCATTTGCAGTCATGTGTTCTCTAACCTGTATAATAAAAAAACTGCAGTCTTGCAATCCAGATTCTCAATTACCGGTATCACATCTGAGAGTCATCATGTGGTATTGCTGGAAGACCTCCGGAACTTTCTAACAAAAAGTACATCGTAAAGGCACGAAATCGCATGTCACCGCATTGAAGTGCAGTGCACTCTTTCGAGACTCTCTCTTGGCTTACGCCTATCTGGTCTCGGCTCTGCTCAAGTAACGAACCGCATTGAAGTGCAGTGCACTCTCTCGAGACCCTCTCTCCCTTCGCCTATCTGGTCGTGCAGTCTTCGACCGCACGACCTTGGGTCCAACGGTGGTTGCTCCAGCAGTCTTTGTTCTCTAAATCTCCACTGTGCGTTTACGCCCTTGCTACACATGCTCTTGCACTCTAGGATATGTATCCACGCTTCACATTTCAGACGCTCTAAACTCTCCCCCCGTCTAGACTTTCCTCTCCTGTCTCCCTCCTTTCTCCTCCCTTCCCGTCCCTCCGCTTACCCTCCCTTCCCCTCCCCCCTCCGTGCGTGCACCAGTACCCGCTGTTCGCGTTACTAGCCTTCCGCCGCTCTGTACGCCTTCCGCCCTGCTTCATGGTTCAAAAGCTCCGAACTCTCCCTTCTCTTTCCTCCGCTCCCCTCCCTTCTGCTCCTTTCCTCTCCGGGCCCCCTCCCTTCCCTTCAATTCCCCCCCCCCCCCCCCCCGGCCCCCCTCTTTCCTCGCTTCCAGCTTCTCCCTGTCAACGGTGATCGCCAACGCGGCAGCAGCATCAGACGCTGCTGTTGATGAGCGTGTGTGGGCCCAGCCATTCACTGCCGCTGTATTTGAGGCACCTCAACACCTCCCTCCCTTCCCCTCTTCCCCTTTTGCCCCCTCGCCCTGGCACGCACTGCCGCTGCCGCAGCTGGCTTCACAGCGCCTACAGCACTTACTGCACGTGCTCTCGTCGTATGTCGCTGATAGAAAGGAGATGGGATGGGAGGGGAGAGGAGCGGATGGGAGAGGAAGGTAGGGGAGGGGAGGGGACAGGATGGGATGGGACGGGACGGGACGGGATGGGGTGGGATAAGTTGGGACGGGATGGGGCGGGATAAGATGGGATGGGATGGGGCGGGATAAGATGGGATGGGATGGGATGGGATGGGATGGGATGGGATGGGATGGGATGGGATGGGATGGGATGGGATGGGATGGGATGGGATGGGATGGGATGGGATGGGATGGGATGTATGGGATGGGGTGGGATGGATGGAATGAGATGGGGTGGGATGGATGGAATGGGTGATGTCCCATTCTGTGTCTTGACTTGTGATGAGCATCTGTCCGTTTCACCTGTATTCCTCTTCATATCGTTTCTCGCAACTCCTCACCTCCTCTAACATACACGCCCGCACATTCCTTGCTCCCCTTGTCACCATTGCCTTCACTCGCATCCCCCACCCACTGCCTGCCACCCCCCTTATCCCATCTGCCAGCCACCATGGTCATCTCCCATCCGTCTCCCTCCCACTCCCCTCTCACACTATCTCCTAACCCATCCTTGTGTGCTATTCCGCATTGTCCTTCCGTCCCAACCCTCTGTCTCTCACTCTCCCATGTCTCTCTCCTCCCATTCCTAACTAGTCCCCCCCCCAACCAACCACCCCCCCCCCCCCCCCTCCCCCTCCCTCTTTCTCCCTTCCTCCCCTTCCTTCCCTTTCTCCCCTTCCTCCCCTTCCTCCCCTTCCTTCCCTTCCTCCCCTTCCTCCCCCTTCCTCCCCTCCCCCCAAATGCTCAATCTCTGCACCACCACCTGCACTTGTCTGCATGCAGGTGCGCAGAAGCAGGAAAGGGACGCACAGCAGCTGAGCAGCACACTAGAGGCCTACTATTGGCAGTGGGGGCAGGACTGGCGGCAGCAGGGGTAGTGACAGCAGCAGCAGGATGTGGAGCAGAAGCGTCAGTGCGGCACGGCCTATGGAGATATCCCCTTAGTCACTGATAATCTCCGCTGGGACTCTGATTATGCAAAATGCTGTCTTGAATGCATAGCAGCCATCCAATGTGACCATGCCTCCATCCCTTTTACCAGGTCTGAAGAGCCCTGCCAGCAATTCCCATGGCCCACCACTCCATCCCTCCATGCTGTCCCTAGCTCTCAAACACAATTGAACCCTCTTTATCTCTTTTACCACTCTCAGAATCAGTATGCCTGCTACGGGTTTGTTCTCCACATTTGTAAGATTGACAGACAAATGAGCGTAGAAGAAGTCGTGTTGAGAAATTGAATTGATGGGTTTAACGTTCCACTTCTGGTATGCTAGCAACATTTGATATAAACACTGCTGTCGTCCACTGTTGTATTGCCACCTGTTCCTCATGCCAAAGTTACACCATCATGTAAAGTGGTGCTTTCCCGAATCCCATTGTTCGCCAGGCAGGGAGGGTTACGGCATGTGTGCACAGCCCGCACAGCGTGTCACTCTCGGGAGAGGCGGGGCTTCCATGGGGATGCCACCAGCGGACGAGGCGGCGGGGGGTACAGGAGGCATCGGGGCACCGGCAGAGGAGCCAAGGAAGGCCCCTCGGGGAGGTTCGGCTGCCGGTGACAGGGTCGATAGAGGTGGCGCTGCTGCGTGCGTTGATTGCCCGACTGACTAGCAAGTGGGTCGGTCATCTGCCAAGATGGAGACAGTGAGAGAGTGAGAGAGAGACAGAGGGAGCTGATCATATCCGCTTGCAACCTGGTGGCGCACGGAGCTGCAGAGGAGGGAGAAAAGGAGAGGGAGGGTGGAGCAGGAGGGGAAGAGAGGATGAAGAACAGACCTTCCTTCTCTCATCATCCACCATCAACTGACAATCAATGCGAATAGAAACCACAAAAATGCGATCCCCATCCTCCTTTTCACAATTTGCAGTGCTTGCATCGGCAAGTCGCATGCCGCTCTCTGCCTTCCACACCCCCCTCTCACACGCACCACTAAGCACTCCCACGGCCCAGCAACCCCCACAGCCCAGCTCTCCCTCTCTCCCTCTCCCTCTCCCTCTCCCTCTCCCTCTCTCCCTCTCCCTCTCCCTCTCTCCCTCTCCCTCTCCCTCTCCCCCCACTCTCACACGGCGCGCACCTTCCAGTCCGCGGCGTCCATGACTACAGCGTCCTCTCGCCACGCCAGCGCGCACATGACTTCCTGCTCCGCCGCGCTCGCCACGCGCACCCACGCCGCCAACCTCTCCCCCCCCCCCCGCCTCTCCGCGTCACCACGCGCAACCCAGTTCTGCCGCGCGGCAACGGGTGGCGACTGGGGGCGAGAGGAGGGGGGAGGAGGGGAAGGACGCGGGGCGGTGTGGGGAGGTGGAACGGGAGGTGGGTTGGAGGTGCCGGGGAGTGACGGTGCGTGATGGAATGACGATTCAAGTCAACTTAAGAGCGACGCCGCTGCATGGGACGAAGTGGAATGACAGTGCGAGAATGGCACAGCGCACCGCACAGATGTGAACCCGCCGCATCACATACTCTCAAAGAATTCACGCGTCTCTTCCACTGAGCTCACACTCCCCCTCCACAATCTCCTCCCCGTCCTTCCCGCCCTTGCGCTTCCCCTTCTTCCCCGCTCCGCTCTCCCCTTCTTCCGCCGCGCCGTCCACCACCACCGTCCCCCATCCCGCCTCCAACGCTGCCGTCACCACCTCCTTTGCTTGCGTCATCACCCACACCTCCTTCTCGCTCCCGTCGCCACTAGCTGTAGCGCTCGCCGAGCGAGCGCTTTCGCATCAGTCGATTTAGCTGTAACCGCCGGTCACACGTGCGACGCCATGCAACAAGCCACCGTCTGATCGCTTGATCGTGACTCTGATCGAAACGAGAATGTCGCCAAGTGCTCGAGCAACGAGTCTGTTGTGCCGCTAAAATGTGCGTGTGCAAGCGAGAGGTCGTTGAAACGCAGTAAAGCGGAACGCGTGCAGCGGCGGAGAAGGAAACGACGGAGGAAGTGAAGGGGAAGAGACGGGAAAGCGCTTGTTCTTGAAAAGAACGATGTGGAAGAGCCGTGGGGATCATGGCGAAATTCGAGAGTGCGAGTGGGGAGCGAAGCAGGATGCGGACCTCGAAATTGCATTGATTGGAATTTCCCGCGGGAAAACGGAAGTGTGCCCTGGGATTGGGAATGGTGTTTCTTGTTCACAGAGCAACGGTATTGTCTGGTTCTTTACGGTGCTGTGGTCAGCTGAATATACCGCTATTTACCACGTTAACACTTACTGAACCGCACTTACAGGCGGGAAAACGAGGGGGACAAACATCAAGGCTTGGGATGTGATGTGAGATTGCCTTGCTAACCCGGTAAAAAAATTCCGAACCGTGTTCAACCAGATTTGACCTTCCTTCATACATCCAACATCCTTCCGTGCTCCCCACCACCAGATCCAACCATTCACAGAATGACGAATGACTTCGCCGTCGCGACAATGCATGCACGAAAACCTTTCGCGCATTGCAGTTTCCAACCACTTCGCAACAGCCGACAGCAGAAGTTACCTGTGAGCTCGCCAATTCGCTAACCATGGCTCGAGCTTCCCCTTCTGGCAGATGATGGGTTTACAGCTGCTCCATCGCTTCTCTCTACCGCCGCTGCTGTCAGACCCAACCCGACACATCTCGACTTCCCTCCCAACTCTTCTGCCAGCCGCCTCCTTAGCACTAGAGCGGCTCAATTTAGCAGCACGCTTCGGAATACGGGTCGCGGCGGTTGAATGAGCGGAAGTTTTATAGGCCACGTCACTAGACCTTCAAAATTCGTGTGTGTACTCGCGTTTTTTTCTGGCTGTTGAAACAGCATACGTGTCCCAGTTTGAGGAAATTCTGGTTGGATAGTGTTTTCGTTGGCGGTTTAATCAAACGTTGGGGCTCATTTGGCGGTCCAATCAGAGCTCATCTTCATGTTGTCGGCGATTCCTTATGATCCACAATCGTCCACGTAGTCCACGGTGGCATGTTGGGACCACCTTCGAAGCCAGCAAAGCGAGATTTTCAGCCGCTCATTGATTCCAAACCGCATCCCAACGGTCCGAAATTAGACATTCCATGCATCTTCAGTCTCTCTTCGTATTCCGGCTCGTCTTCTCGTGACTTTCAATTAGTTTCTGTAGCCTTCCTGGCACTTTTGCTAATCGATCTTGACTTTCGATCGCGCTACCAGTTTCGACCCTTCACCATCTTCTCACGTCGATGCCGTTCAGCCTTGCCGGGATCGTATGGTCGGATCGTGGAGCTTCATTACCTCGACCGTGGGAGTTTTTGCAACGTAGCGAAGCTACGTCGATCTGCGTTTTTTCCTCGACCTCGTCGCGACGCTAGCTACGACGTGGCTGAAGCGGCATCGATATCCCCGACTTGTTACGGTGAAGGTTGAACGTATCACCTTTCACCACCTCTCACCACAGAGCCTCCTCCCTGGTAAAGGTTTGGTACAGGTTCGGTACAGGTGCGGTAAAGGTTCCCAAGGTGTTTGGCTAGTACTGGCTCTGTGGTGGGGCAGCACGTGTTCTTTCACGTTTACAGTCTTCATTTCCTTTTGCTTTCTTCACTTCCGTTTACTGACTTCCTGTTACTTCTTATACTTGCAGGTGTTTATGGAGGCTGCTAGGCGTACTTCCGAAGCTTTTAGAGGAGCAACGGCTTTCGTGGCTCTCCATTCTTCAAAGCGTCCTCGGCCATCTACGACGTGGCTGAAGTGTCATCGATCGACCAGAGGAGCAGAGGAGCAGCTCCACGAGTCGTTCTGGTGAATGTTAAACGTATCTCCTTGCACCACCACTCACCACAGAGCCTCCCCCCCGGTTAAGGTTTGGTAAAGGTTCGGTACAGGTTAGGTAAAGGTCCCCAGGAGGTTTTTCTTTTACGGTACAGGTTGGTATCGGCTCTGTGGTGGAGCAGCACATGTTTCTTTCACTTCGCAAAGTCGATTTCTGCATGTTTTCTTCAATTCCGTATACTAACTACATGGTTTTGTCTACACTCGCAGGTTCTAATGGAGGCTGCGAGGCGTATTTCCGAATGTTTAAGACGAGCAAAGGCCGTCGGGGCTTTCCATGCTTCATGAAGGTCAACAGAGGAGAAGGTTGAAGTATCACCCACCCTTCATACTTCACAGAGCCCCCCCCGGGTTAAGGTTAGGTACAGGTCAAGGTATGGTACAGGTCGAGGTTGGTAAGGTTCCCCCTGAAGGTTTTTCAGTTGGTATTGGCTCTGTTTTTTCCACGCTTATTTCGTTTTACATGCTTTATTGCCCGACCTTTACTAATTCTTCTTTATTGCCATACCTGCAGGTTCTATCCGAGGGTCTGCTGCGATGACTTCAGAGGAACAACATCGTTTGGCGGCCATCCTTGCTTCGTGGCGTACAACAGAGGAGCAGCTCCAGGGCAGGTGAAGGTTGAACGTATCAGCCACCCACTCCACACTCCTCGGAGCCCCCCCCCTTGGTTCAGGTCAAGGTGATGGTAAAGGTTGAGGTGGGTAAAGGTCCCCCTAAGGTCTTTTTTTTGGTATTGGCTCTGTAGGCAGTGCACACTTGCACCACACTTGCATCACCGTCCGTTTCTGCTTGATTTGTTCACTGCTGCTTACTAATGTAGTTCCCTTGATCTCCTTGCAGGTTATGGCCCTTGTGCCAAGCTCCAAGGCGAGGTGAACGTACCTGCAAGCAGCACCTGGCAGGTGCCTCCTCTCTCTTCACTACGAGTAAGTCTCGTTTGAAGTCACTTGTTGCATGTTGTTTCGTTTTCCTTCATTGACTATTCCTTTCTAACTCGGATTTTCTGACTTCAATTGGCAGGTTGCTTCAACAATGCGTTTCAGCAAGCCCAAGAATCAAGATCCATGGGAGCTGGTCTGCTGAGGCACCTCAAGGCTCAACAACCTTGGAAGATAAGTCACCAACCCCAGCTTATTTCGTTGCTTTATCGCTCCAATGCTCCTCCACTGCTTACTCCAAGCTTGCCGATTCCTTCTTTTCCCCTCAATTCTTGCTTTCTGTTGCTGTGTGATTCTGAAGTTACTTGATTTACTGATATGGTTTATTTTTACTTCATGTTGCAGGTTGCTCAACCAAGGACATTCAGCATGTTCAACATCCATGGGAGCACCATGGTCTGCTTAGGCGATTCAAGGCTCACGCATGGCGAGATAAGTTGCCTACCCCTTGTCTTCACCGCTTGCTTAGTTTGTTGATTGCTTCGCTTCATTCACGTTGTTGCTTCAAGTTGATGCCGGTCACTGACTTTGTTTATTTACCCCGTGGCAGGATCTCTCCAAGGGCACTCTGCACTCCCATGGAGCTTCAAGTCCTTGCGCACTGCTCAACACCTCCAACTCTTTAACTTCAGATAAGTCCTTCACTTTGCACTGAGTCAATTCGCTGAATCTTTTTATTTAGTTGTGTTAATCATTTTGCTTTGACACATGCTGCATCCTTGCTGTTTTTTAAGAGCCTGGACTAATGTTTGTCTCTTGTACCATGCAGGTGGAAGGCAGTCCACGAGAGGGGTTGAAGCCTTGAGCATTGGCTGGGGACTCGATTCCGGGCCAAACTGGACTGGTTCTGTCCCCCTCCTCCCACACCAAATGACAAAGCTGTCTGGCCAGCAGTGATGTCATGTGGTGTGGGCGGGGGTGGGCAGAGCCAGTCCCTAGTAGGGCACCCGCACGTCTTGGTCCTGGCATGCTCATGGCCCAACCTTCCTCTCTGCCTGTGCAGTGCACTGCCAGTCCATGCCGGGGTGGGCATGGATGGCATGCTGCCAGCCCATACTCCACTGGCTTGCTTCCCTGTGGGGCATGTAGACCTGTGGTTGTTAAGGTTAGAGCCATAATTTGTTATGATGTGTAGGCAGAGAACGAAGCACCATGATTGAGTGTACATTTAATTATAATGTGCTTGGAATGCAGATTGCAGACCTACTGGTATGCTTTTGGAGGAAGAATGCGGATTGTTTTGCTACCCTGATGTATCAGAGAAGCATACACTCGCAGTTCAGTGAAGTGTAATGACATTAGCTTTGCAGCTGGTGTTTGGCTGGGGTCAATACACAAGGATCATATTCATCCTGCAGATGCATGATTCAGACTTTCACAGGTCTATAAATGTACATTACAAGAGCGTTCTAATATTGCCTGAAACCCTACTTAATCGTTCTGTGTGAACACCGAGCCTTTCGGAAAAGCACTCAGGTTCTTACCACATTCAGATGAACCTTTCTAGTGTACTCCCTTAGGTGTCAGATAAGTGAGGAATTACAAGTCATCGCTTGAATCCAAGGTGCAGAGCGGAAGCGACGAGATTCGCATTGGCTGAACATTAGCTGGTGATGTGAAGTCTCGCTGTCACCTTTCCTAACGCCACCTGTTCATCACGACGAATTCAAACCATTGTGTAAACTCGTGATTTTCTCGTGATTTTTTAGGAAATGTCCGCACCCCGCGTCACTTCGGGGGGAGGCGGGTCTCTCGCGGGGACACAAATGGCCGATGAGGAGGCGGAGCGTTTGGCTTTGACGGAGAAGTCCGCCTGCGCAGGCGGAGGGACATCGGCGGAAGGCGAGAGGAGCGGCGGAAGCCCCCCGGGGAGGACGCGGCTGCTGGTGACGGGGTCGATAGCGGTGTCGCTGCTGCTGTGTGCGTTGATTGCCCGGTTAGCAAGTGGCTCGGTCGTGCGCAGAGGGAAAGAGAGAGCTACTACTGCATGCTCGAATCTATCTCGAATTCTGCCGCTTTCCGAATCTACCCGCTTTCTTCCGCGCATCCGCCATAGCCAATGCGGTTTCTTCAGTTCTTTGAGTTGATCAACAATCAGGGAGCTCCTGTCGCCGTCATTCGCCGTAATTCGCGACGGTGTCGCCATGTGACGTGCAGGCGGAGGGGGTCCTCCCCCTCAGTCCTTTCCGCACTCTCCCTTTGCGGACCAGTCGCGACGCATTGCCTTCTGCTGTCCGACTGAGCCCTTCCCCGGTTCCCACTCTCGTCCTCGATCGCCCAATGGCCCACATGCCGCTGCGCCTTGTGTGTCTCAACCTCAGTTACCCATTTCCCTTTCCCCACCCCCCACTCCGCTCCTGTCCCCTGTCCCTTCGCAGGGCTGCCTGTCTGGTGGTATACCACACGCGTGTATCGTGCGCCGCTGCCATTTGCCGACATCAGCAGCTTCACGCATGACGTCACTGCGCACCCCATATCCCTGCCCATCCACGTTGACGTTATTTTCCTGCTCAAATCTCCGCCGTTCAAGCAGCAACCAGAGGAGCAGCAGCAGCAGCAGCAGCAGCAGCAGCAGCAGCAAGAACCATCTTCCCCTCTATTCCCCACGTCTCAACTACAGGACACAGCCGAGGCGTCTCTCTCTGCCCTCTGCTCCCCTCACGCGTACCCCTATGGCCATAGCTATATCCCCGATTCAGCAAACGGCGCTGCATTGTGTGGCAGCAAGCAAGCGAGGTCTATTACCCTGTGGGCTGTCCGCGGCGCTGCCTGCCAATCAGCTCTCACCACATCAGCAGCAGCAGCTGAACCGCCAGCAGCATCGCCAGGGCAAGACTGGCCTTGCCGCATAGACTGGGCACAGGTGGTGGATGCGGAAGTACAGCTCAGCGAATCAGAGTTTGACACGTGGCTGGATGGTCAAATCCAGAGCGCGTTGTCGCGCTCTAATCTCTCAGAATCCGCATCTCCTCCCCCGAATCCTTCCTGGGACCCTGTGATTCGGACTCAAAAGTGGGGTGGTCGCTATGTGCTGCTGCTGGTGGAAGGACGAGACGAGAGTCAGGGGGGGCGGCAGAAGGATGGGGAGAGTGGGAGTGAGATGGGGAAGGGGAGGGAATCGCCTGTATGTGCGTCAGAATGGGGAGAGGTGGTGGTGGGAAAGCACAGACACGCATGGATGTACTTCCCGCCTTCCTCTTCCTCCTCCCCTTCCTCCTCCTCTTCCTCCTCCTCTTCGTCTCCCCGTCAAGACCACACAGGCTTCCCTCTGCTGCTCGCACCAATGGCAGTGCAATCTCTGGCGTCGCTGCTTGTGCCTCCTTCACACATGGCTGTCGATACACTACCACCAAGCAATGTCAGCAGCAGCGGCAGCGGCGGTGGCGGCGGCGGCGGCAGAGCGGAGTTGCCAATAGGGCCGGACAGTGCAGTGAGTGTGTCGTGGAGCTTGCTCAACGCCGACCCACACCAGTGGGCCTTCCAATGGTGCGTGCGACCTCTGCATACCTGCCTGCTCCTGCGTGCGTGGGTGGGAGAAAAATGGGGGTGATGGGTGTTTGGGGGAGAATGAGCAGTATTATGGATGAAGGTGTGAAGGTGCTGCTGAATGCTCGCTCCTTCTTGTTTTGAACTTCCACAACATGACATCCCTGTTCATTTCATTGCAATTTCTGCCACCTCCTTCCCTCCCTCCCTCCCTCCCTCCCTCCCTCCCTCCCTCCCTCCCTCCCTCCCTCCCTCCCTCCCTCCCTCCCTCCCTCCCTCTCTCCCTCTCTCCCTCCCCTCCCCCCCTTTCTCCCTCCCTCACTCCCCCCCTCCCCCCCCCGCTTCTGCCTCCCTCACTCCCTCCCTCTCTCGCTCCCCCCCTCCCTCCCTCCCTCCTCCTAATCTGCCACACAGGAACTTTCCATCACTGCGGGCGTCTCTCCTGCGTTCCCTGCAAGCCGCGTTCAGCCCTCTGCTCACTCTCCACTTCCACAGCCAGGTGCGCCTTCTCCCATTTGACAAATCGAATCTCAAACGTTGCACAAAACTAACATAGCCACCTGCACATTCACTTGCACAACCCCCTCGCTCCTCCCCCGTCCCCTGTCCGCCACGCCACTCCTCATCTACCTTTGCTCCGCACATACCTTTTCACCAATTGTAGCCGTGGTCTTTAATAAGATCTCACCATGCGCCCTTACCTTCTTCCCTTACGCACATGTTTTTTCTATATTGCCCCCCTTTTTCTTCCCCTCCTTCCCCTGTTTTTCCCCCTGCCCTCCTTCCTTCCTTCCCATAAGGTCCTCTACTTTGCCCCAATGGCAGCAGCGGCGAGGTGGAACGAGCATGCGAGGGTGCATGAGGTGCAGGCGTCCGATCTGCCATTCGTGCTCAATGCCGACACATGGCATCTGCATGCATCGCTGCCACTCATGGCTCATGGCCGATCCAAGCTGCTGCATGTCGTTGTGTGAGTGGCCTTCTTGTCATGTGCCTTTTGTGTCTCTGGCTGTCTCGGATGAGTGTATGTGTCATGCATCTCTGATAGGTGCGTGGTTTGTCTTGCTTCAGTAAAGAGTTAAATCTCACTACGCCAGGCAGGTTGGTTCGTTTCTCCCTCTTCCCATCTGGTCTTTGTTCGTGTGTGTTCCAACCCTCAATCTCGTCCATTCTCCCCAACCTGTTCTTTCCTTTCCTCCCATTGCTGCAGCTACATTCCCTCTCGCACCACCTGTCCCCTAACCATAGCCACACACGCGCCCAGCAACAACGGCAAGCACCATTCACCATCAGTGCCTCCATCTGGGTTCATATCCCCTGGTTGGGGCTCTGTTATCCTCTTCAACCCTCTCAACTGCTCCGCTCTCTCCTCCTCTTCCTCCTCCTCCTCCTCCTCCTCCTCCTCCTCCTCCTCCTCCTCCTCCTCCTCCTCCTCCTCCTCCTCCTCCTCGACTTCTGACACCCCATCATTTGCCTCCCCTCACGTCCTCTCTCCCTCCTCCTTCACTCCTGTCCTCGCCCTTGCGATAGCCCAACTGAGGTCTCTCTTTGGCCTGTCTGCCACTCCACCTGCACTCTGCCCCACTTCGCCTGCTTCCCCGCATAGTGGCAGCAGCAGCAGTGGCAGCAGTGGCAGCAGGGGAAGCAGTTGGGGAAGCAAAGGAGCAGTGGGCGCACGCAGTTTATCAGCAGGGCTGAGGGGAGTGGCGGAGTGGGAGGTAGACTCGTTGCTGCGACAACGGCTCCCGGCAGATGAAGCAACCATTGCAGCATCTCTATCATCCGTTGCCGCCCTCGTGCAATCACTACCGTCCATGGTTGTGCGCGATGACATCAGCGAGTTTGTATTCTCTGCGCTGTCCTCTGCACGAGCGGCAAGAGAAGCAGCTAGAGAGGGGAGATATGACGAAGCGCAGGCAGCACTGAGGAGGGCGAAACTGGCAGCTGATGCTGCTCTATTTCACCCAAGCATGGAGGCTGGAATCTTCTACCCGCTAGAGCATCACCTTGCAATTTACTCTGTTAGTAAACCTCTCTCTCCCACTCTCTCCCTCTCTCAGCTCTTCCTTTCCTCTCCACTCTAACTTACCCTGTTTGTTCAATTCCCTTATTCTTTTTTCCGGCTCCTCTAAACCGCCTTTCAGTTTCCATCACCCTCTCTCCTCCCCATCACTGTACATCCTTGCCTCCTGGGTTATTCTGACAGTGTCCTTAGCAGATACATACCTAGCAGGTGCCTTCGTGTGTCTTTTTCTTCTCATTCAAATGGCTTGACACTCACTGGCTGTTCGGAGTTGCCTGAAATTTCTTCTCTTCCGCATCCCAGCCCCTTTTTTTCCCAGTGGGTATACATGCAGCAGTGGCCTTTATTCGCGAATTTCGGCGCTTTCTACAACGCAAACGGATGGTTAAGGTGGGATAATAGGGCTGGGTTGGAGGTTCTTGGCCGAACAGTCTTATTGTTATGCTGTCTTGCTTTGGATTGGCCGTATACATTTGGGCAAAGAAATTTGCTGACAGAGGTACACCAGAGAACAACCCAGGAGGGCTACTGTAAGGAAAATTCCTTTTCCTTACTTCGCATCCCTGCTCAACGCGTACATCACTGTAGCACCACAGTTAGCACCGTTACCACTCGCAACCCTCGCATCGACAATCCGCCCGCCACCTTCGCACATCGCACCCCGACCTCACGGCTCGGCGGGTAACCCGCGCTCCGGGCCTCCGTTTCGACACTTTTTCCCAACCTCAGTCCCAGGCCCGTCGCGCGACAACCACAGTCCATTACCGTTACCACTGTAGTTTCGCTATATATTCTTCGCTCATGCCTTCGCTCATTGAACTCTTGCTTCGATAGTGCAATTCTAGTTCGTTCACTCAATTGCACTCGTAACAGCTACAAACCATCTAGGGCTCTTTCATTGTTATGAGTTGTAAAAGAGAGTGCGCAGGTAAACGAATAATGAGGTTGTGACTGAATGAGCTGAGAATACAATGAATGCACAGACTAATGTAAGGCTAGCCTGTCTAGGAGGAAACCTCGGGAGATGAGGTTGGGTGCAGGTTTGGCGATGGGAATGCCAAAGGCGACGCGAGGAGCCTCGACAGCGTTGAAATCGGCCGAACGTGCGAACTCCGAAAATCGGGCTGTACGCGAAGCAGTCAACCCCGATAAGGAATTCGGGAAAATTCCTTACACCACTCCCCCCTTTAAGAAAGGCGGTCAATATCCGCAACACGCTCGCGCGCCAAGTAATCACCAACAAGTGGCGAGGCGTCGAGCGAGGCGGAAGGCACCCACGTGTCGTCCTCACTGGTGCGATCAGTCCAGCGGATCAAGAAATCCACGTGTCAGCCAGCTGCGTCAAGGCGAACCCGATGAGCCAGGATTTTCGAAGGTTCAAGTGTCGGCTCCGGAACAGGTCGTGCTGTTGGGACAGCTTGCTGACGTGCGATGTCTGTCGTGGCTGGCACGAACTTGCGAAGAAGGCTGACGTGGAAGGCGTCATGAATTCGCCAGTCGTCGGGTAGCAGCAGCTTCGCGGTGACAGGTGTCACCATCTTGATAATCTTGAACGGCCCGCAGAAGCGTGGGCGGAGTTTCGACGGACCGGGCAGGTGCAGGTTCTTCGTGTCAAGGAGCACTAATTGCCCAGTGGTCAAAACGAGTTCCCGGCGTAGAAGATCTGCGTATTTGCGGGAAGTGATATTCGCCTTGCGAATTGCGTCGGCGGCCTTTTCTCGGGTTTCCTGGAGTTCCGTCACAAAAGTTTGTGACCGTGGGGCCGGGTTGTCGAGAGCAGTCGCGGTGGGGACCGTCGGGTCCATCCTGTAATTCAGGAAAAACGGGGAGTGATTAGTCGTGCTGGACGGTGCGTTGTTGAAGGCAAACTCCAGCATTGCGAGAGAGTCCTCCCAGCGGGCCGGGTCGGGGCAGTTTGTTCTGATCAGCTGCTCCATGGTCTGATTGGTCCGCTCTGTTTGACCGTCCGTCTGTGGGTGATATGCCGTTGAGAACTGTAGCTTCGTGCCGTACTGCGCCCACGTCTCCTTCCAGAACTTGGATGTGAATCGCGGGTCTCGGTCGCTGATGATCGCCGAGGGGATGCCGTGCAGTCGCACAACCGTTGAAATGAAAAGTCGCGCAGTCTCTTCGCCTGTAATGGTCGTTCACCATGGTGCAAAATGCGCCATTTTCGTGAAGCGATCGACGACGACGAGACCAGCGTCGTTGCCGGACGGCCCAGCTGGCATCCCCGTGACGAAATCCATCGTCACTTGCTGCCACGGTCGTTCGGGTGGCTCGAGGGGTTGCAGCAGCCCAGCTGGTCGTTGACGTGTCGATTTCATAGCTTGGCACACCCTACATGAAGACACATATCGCTGCACGTCGTTAGAGGAGTCAGGCCAATAATATTGACGGTGCAGTAATTTCTGGGTTTTATCAACCCCGAAGTGTCCGGAGAAATTCGAATCGTGGACCTCCTGGATGAGAAGTTCACGCAGCAGCCGGTAAGCGGGAACCCAAATCCGGTCGGTACCGGCTTTTACGTAGTAACCCCCTTTCTGCGTCGTGGCCTGCTGATGATTCCCGGTCGTGAAGAATGGGTCCGTAGTGTAGCCGTGGGTGAATAGTCCTGTAAGTAGCGGGTTCGAATGGGTGATGAGTACTGCAGCGGATTGTACTGTCGGTCGGGTCAGGGCGTCGGCGATGTTATTCGCCCCTTTCTTGTACGTGATGCGGTAGGTGAAGTGGCTCTCCATGTAATCCAGCCACCTAATCTGTCGTGGGTTGAGGTTGGGTTGGGCTCGCAGGTACTGCAGGGACTTATGGTCCGTGCGAACAGTGACGTCGGCGCCTACCAGGTAGCATCGCCATAATTTAAACGCGTGTATGATGGCGAGCATCTCCTTGTCGTGAATCGGATAGTTGCGTTCGGCTGCCTGCACCTTGCGTGATTCGTAGGCTATTGGCTGCAATCCGTTCCCGAAGTCTTGGAGAAGCACAGCTCCGATGGCGAAATCTGATGCGTCGGTTACAACTTCGAACGGCTTCGATGGGTCGGCGATGCGCAGAACAGGAGGGGAAACAAGAAAATTCTTGAGTTCCTGGAAAGCCGCTTCTGCCTCCTCCCCCCACACAAAATTTTTGTCCTTGTGCAGTAGGTCGGTCAGCGGGCCGGTTATCCCCGCCATATTCGGGATAAAACGCCAGACGCAATTCACGAATCCGAGGAAACTCTGGAGTTCCGTGACGTTCGTCGGGGACTTCTACTCCTGTATGGTTTTGATTTTCGCCGGGTCGATTTTAATGTCGTCGGCGAGATTACGTGCCCCAAAAACTCCAACTCCTGCTTAAAAAACTCGCACTTAGAGCCCTTGGTGATGAGTCGGTTCTCCTGCAGCCTTTGAAACACTGCATCCAGGTCTCGGAGGTGCGTCTCCCGTGTCTTGCTAAAAACGAGGATATCGTCCAAGTAGACGATGACACATCGGTCTAGAAGATCCCGAAAAACCCTGTTCATGGTCAGTTGAAAAGTCGAAGGCGCGTTCGTGAGGCCGAAAGGTATCACTGTAAATTCGTAACTCCCGTAGCGTGTGCGAAACGCAGTCTTGTGACAGTCGTCCGCGAAGACTCGGATCTGGTGGTAACCGCCACGTAAGTCAATCTTCGAGAAATAGTGAGCGCCGTGAAGTTGGTCGTGTCAGATTTATATGACATAGTTGCTGTAGGCTATAGTGGGGTAGCACATATGGGGTACAGGGTTTCTAGGGTTGTATTTGTACCCAATCTTTCCTTAGTCATTTCATTCCTGTTCACTTGTTTCACATGGTATAGAGCGGGTCCTTCCTAAGGACCGTTTTTTTAGGGCCCACCGAAGCGCGCCCCGAGGCGCGCATTTTTTTTAGCGACCCCTCGGGTCGCCATTTCCCTCGCGGCCCCGCTGCCCCTCCTGATCGCGGCCCCGCCGCCTGCTTGACGCGGCCCCGCCGCCTCCACTGACGCGGCCCCGCCGCCGGCTTAGACGCGGCCCTGCCGCCCGCTACGTCGCGGCCCCGCCACCTGCTTGACGCGGCCCCGCCGCCTCCACTGACACGGCCCCGCCGCCGGCTCTGACGCGGCCCTGCCGGCCCGCCGCTGCACCTGACGGCCCCGCCGCTGCACCTGCCGGCCCGCCGCTGCACCCTACGGCCCGCCGCTGCACCCTACGGCCCGCCGCCTCACCTGACGGCCCCGCCGCTGCGCCTGCCGGCCCGCCGCTGCACCCTACGGCCCGCCGCTGCACCCAGCGGCCCGCCGCTTCACCTGCCGGCCCGCCGCTGCACCCAGCGGCCCGCCGCTTCACCTGACGGCCCCGCCGCTGCACCTACCGGCCCGCCGCTGCACCCTACGGCCCCGCCGCTGCACCTGCCGGCTCGCCACTGCACCGGTCGACCCGCCGCTGCACCTGCCGGCCCGCCGCTGCACCTGACGGCCCCGCCCCTGCATCTCCCGGCCGAGCCGCCCCAGCAGCAGAGCCGCCCCAGCAGCCGAGCCGCCCCAGCCGCCGAGCCGCCCCAGCAGCCGAGCCGCCCCAGCAGCCGAGCCGCCCCAGCAGCCGAGCCGCCCCAGCAGCCGAGCCGCCCCAGCTGCAGTGCCGCCCGAGCCGCCCGAGCCGCCGAGTCGCCCGAGCCGCCCAGCAGTCGAGCCGCCCGAGCCGCCCGAGCCCTCCCTGCACTCCCCTGTCTGGTGAGCACTGAGCTTTACTCTGCGCACTGCCCTCTCTCTACTGCTGTCATGGCTACCCCCAGTGTCCTCGCCTTTGACGCTGAGGGCAGAGCCATTGACTTTGACGTGTGGGTAGACGACCTACTGCTTTTCCTACAGTGCGACAGAGCTGACGGACTCTCTCTCTTTGATCTCACTTCTGGTGCCTCTCCCGCCCCTGCTGCTACTGAGGATGCCACTGTTCGCTCACAGTGGGCCACACGCGATGCTGCTGCACGTCTTGCTGTGCGTCGCCACCTCCCTCCCGCTGAGCGTGCGCACTTTGGGTCGTACAAGAGTGCTAAGACCTTGTACGACGCCGTTATCGCACGCCGATATTCTTGCTGCTATGTATGCTGTGACTATTAGTGAGGAGGGTGACTGTTACCGGTGTTTCCCGCCCGACCCGGGCATTGGTACTGCGGCTCTAGGTGCTGTTGAGGCTGCTGCTCCAGGTGCTGGTGAGGCTGTTGCTCTAGGTGCCAGTGAGTCTGAGTCCTCAAGTGCTGGTGAGTCTGCTCTCTCAGGTACTGTGTCGACTTCACCCTCTCTCACTTTCACTCTTGACTCCGGGGCGTCTCGCTCCTTCTTTCGAGACCGCACCACACTCACGCCGCTTAGTCGGCCAGTGGCGGTCTCCTTGGCAGACCCCTCCGGGGGTCCTGTTCTGGCTC